CCTGTGGGGTGGCCCTGGCACAGCCCTCCAGTGCCCCCGCGGTGCCCCCCGCAGCCAGGCCCTGATCCTCACAGGGGCCTCCCCGCTGCTCCCTAGCAGACCGCACCCTGGTCCCGGGCAGGCAGCGAGGCCTCTGGGCCCGGGGAGGGTCAGCGGACAGGAGCAGGCCCCAGAGCGGGGCTCCCTCAGGCGGAGGCCCTGGCGGGAGAGCCGGGAAGGGAACCCCCTCACCCCTCCTTCATCCAGGGCGGTCAGTTCTGCCCCCCAACTCCTCGTTGGCCCCCCCTTTTTTGCTGCCAGCTGCCTGCAGGCCTGCAACACGCTGCTGGAGGCTACGAACTCGGGGTCACCACCCTCATCAGAACAGGCTTCAGTTGGGGGCACCCCACTATGTGCTGTAAGAGGTGAAAAGTCCTGGTGCGAGGGGTGTCAGGTGAGGCCCCAAGACCCCAGTTTCTGTGCATCTGGCCAGGGCCTTGGTCTCTGCGGGAGGCACCAGGAGGGTAGGAGTTGGGGTGTTTTTGACGTCTGCTCTCTCCGCAGTCACCCTCCATCCCCTCGTGATGGATGACACAGACTGTCACTACTAATGGCTTCTGTGGCGTCCTCAGAACTAATGAAGCTGCTGACAATTCAGTAAATGAGTCAACACCACTCTATCCCTCTCCCCACCCCCAGCCCCTCCACCAGGGGCACGGAGCAGGCCACAGGCTGTGGGGTGGCTCATGGGCTCTTGGGGACATGGGATGGGGCGGGGGATGGAGCCTGTCACTGGAGCTGGGCAAGGGAGTGGGGGAGAGACGGGGGAGGTACAGGGTGAAGGAGGAGAGGAAAGTATGTAGAGAGGGAGTTGGTGAGAAAGGTGGAGAAAGGTGGGCAGAGATTGGGAGCGAGGGGAAGGGATACCTGGGGGTAGGGGGAAAAGTTAGGGCCCCCCTCTGCACCAGACCCTGGGTAGGAAGCCCCAGGCTGAGGAGACTACAGTTTGGATGGAGAGGGAGACAGCTCTATCCATTATTTTCATTGTCAAAAGCAGCCTATGACACAAGCTTTATTGTTCCCCTTTTACAGTCACGCTCAGAGAGGTCAGGCAACTTTCCCAAGGTCACACAGCTGAGAAAGGCAGTGAAATGCAAACCCAGAGCAGCGCGACTCCAGAATCTGGGCTTTTCCCACTATCCCTGGTCCACGAATACGGGGAAAGGGAAGAACAGGTTACTCTGGGTTTGTCTGATTTGCCCTGTTCATGGGATTACTTGGTTGGGGGTGGAGGTGCCACAGCCTCCTTGGGTCTGGACTCTGAGCTTTAAGAAGGCCTTTGGCAAAGCCTCTCCCAGTGCTGTGGACAC